AAGTTGTTTCGATTAATAATCCAATATATTTGGAAAATAAATTTTCAAATTTAATCTTCATTTTTATGAGCTAATTGAAACTATATATTGTAACAAAATTTTGATTCTTGTGTACAAATTTTTTTTTGTTGATATCCCAACTATTCTGGTAGATATTCTCCTTTTACATTCTGGATCAATATTAGACTTTGTGCAAAGTCGTCGCTCCACGCAAAGGGGTTAATCTATGGAGGACGGTCTCAAAGAATTACGTTTTATGAGATATTTCAACCTCTAACCTATCCACCATAAGATATTTATCAAGTGATTAAAGTACTATTAGACTAACCTTTTAGGGTTTATTGCATAAATTATTAAAAGATAAAGGCGTTGATTTATTTGAACCAAATTAAAGAAACCGACATAAAGCTCATCTCCATTAATAATTGAGCAAGCAATAAAATATAGAACAAGTAACCCTAAACATCCATGCACCCATAGGTGATTCTAGTTCAAGTTTAACCTTCAACTTCAAGTACAACCTTGTGTGTGCCCTCTCTTCTACGGAGGCCTTTATATACCGCCCACCTCCCTCCTTTCCTTCTGCTCATATCAAATATTTCTTTCTTCTCTTCCTCCTAAAACCAAAATTCCTCTCTCTCTCTCCACCAAACAGAAAATCAATCAATACCCACAAGTCAAAAGTGGTCCAAAAAATTCATAGAAATGGAACCAAATCTACCAGTTATGGCAAAGAAGTTTTGGAGCATGGTACGAGTTGCTTTCTTCATGCTGAGGAAAGGCATATCAAAGAGAAAACTAATGCTTGATCTCAACATGATGATGAAGCGTAGCAAAATTGCCGGAAAGGCGATACAAAACCTCATGTTCCACCATACCCACCACCGTTCCTCCTCCTTCTCCCACCGCCGGTCATACGACGGACGGATATCATTCTCAGTCCCCGGCGAGTACGAGTTCAGCTGCAGTAACAGCCCAGCTTACTTCCAGTTCCCCTTCCACCTCACAAAACGCAAAAACCACCACTCTCACCTCTTCTCTTGCGCCCACGCTCCGCCGACGGACGACGACATGGTGACAGTTAATGCGGTTGTGAAGGCGTTAGAGATGCTGCAACACAGCGAAGCGGCGTCTCCTGCGCTTCCTGGGTTTGGGCGGAGTCCGATGGTGAGGCAGCTGAGGATAACGGACTCGCCGTTTCCGTTGCGGGACTTGGATGAAGATAACTACGTTGACGAGGCTGCTGAGGAGTTTATAGTGAAGTTCTACAATGATTTGAGGCAGCAGAATTCAATGGCTGCTCCCTGGCCACGTTAAGAAGTTCCGGCCAGTGTTGTCGTATTCCGGCGCCATGCTTCTTTCTTGACATGCAATAATGCCCGATGGGTCTAGGACTCTATCCAGTTCAGGCATGGCCATGAACTAAAAAGTTGCATGGGGGTTGTACAAAAAGCTTGTTAATTACACTTTGTGAACCGAAATTTTGTCTTTAGAGAAAAAAAAAATCAAAAAAGGAATAAACAAAAAAAAAATACTCCTTTTATATCATAATTAATTCTCAACCAATAACACTATTTTGCCCTAATTAGTTAAAAATATTTTGTTTATTAGCTTAATCGTTCTGTCTAATATTGAGACATATTATTAGTCTAATAACAAGAGGTAATTAGGTCACCAAATTACATGCATCCGAGAACACTTTTCGATTCTGTTATAAATTCAGACGTTTTAAATTTGAATGTTGACAATCTTTTAAGGTTAGATCATGAGACATTTATCCCTCATAAAAACTCTAATTTCAGTATGAATGATCTACCTTTGACTGGATTAGGGAAATGATTAATCGAGATACACGTAAATTGATCTTAACACCCCTGACAATTAAACCAAAAAAAAATTAATCCTCGCCATTCAGCAAACTTACCATGATAACCCAACAATAAAACAACCACGATGACTAAGGTTATACTAGTTTACAAACATGGTCTGATATGATCCCACTATGTTAAAGTAATCCTATAGAAGGTCCCCCACTTTCCAAATCTTTTTAAAATTATACCTTTTCTTTTTCTTTTTTATTTTTAAAATATTTTGCAAAGCAACTTCTTCCTTTTAAAGTTGGCTTCAAGAAACTAAAAACTTACTTCATTAACAAATCCGAAACTTACAAGCAAAACAATCAATTGTTCAAAATTAGCTAGAAAGGTACTTAAGTACCGTATACATATTCGTAGGGTAAAGATATATTCCTTCATTATTAGTCTCAAGCCCTACCAGAAGATCCCATTGAAGGGAAAAATGGAAAATTCAACCCTTAGGTTTGTGCTGGTGAACAAGCCCCATCCAATTTGTTTTTTTTTTTTTGGGTCAGGCATCCAATTTGTAATCATGGTTGAACTTAGGTTTATAAGTAAATTTGTATTGTGTTAGATTCATACAAGGTTATCAACGGGTCATTTGTTCAATGGTACTTTTTACCTTATCAAGATTTTATCTTATTGAAATCAAGAGTTCAAGTCCTTCCCTCCCCTCCCCAAAAAAAAAAAGATTCATACAAAGTATAGTCATGTTCGTATCATGCATAGACCGTCTGTATTGTTTCATTTATTAAATAAATTTGACAAGTCTACTCAGTATAACTCAAAACTTATTAAGACTGAATTCATAGTTATCAGTTTTGTATCGATTTCCTATCAATTAACATGTCATGTTAAAAATTACTAACTTTAATTAAGATAAAAAAAAGTCTTTTTTTTTTGCTACAGGGAATTTAATTTTACGTCGACTCTCGAACTCTGAGATCAGCCAATGTAGTTTGAGCTAGTTTAATGACATGTCTCTTGAGGAGTAAGGATGACTGACCCTCAAAGAATGTGAAAAGTATTGAATCTGAGATCTCTTGCACTTAATTGCCCCTAAATGTTAAATATATATATGTATATTATCCAAATGCTTATGGGTGGAAATATTCCAATATAGATGAACCAAAAGTAGACAATATTGATGTTGGTTGAGTTACAAAAGTTTGAGTGTGGAGGTCACAAACGCAAAATCAGGTACATGGAAACACTGTGAGCTACAACCAAATAAAGATAGATTTCAGAAAAAAGACACAATTATTATGGGACCATACTGAAATTATACGTAAAGCACGTCGAAAGAAATGGAAAGGTTAGTTAAAATTGCGACAAGTGTCCCCCATTTTCCCTCATTTTCATTCTCACCTAACATATTACCGAAACTTTTGGCTTTAATTGGTCCCAATTTGTCATATGAATGAGAAAAAGCTAAAAACTCTCGTCTTTGCCTACAATTTTCAAGCCAAAACGAAGTAGAAATTGTCCGCAAGAAATAACAATCCAGCTCATTTCCACCATGGTTGTTCAACACTACTTAGTTGATGTGCGAAGTTTTGGGTTAAGAATATGATTGGTGGAAGGGTTTGGAATAATGCGGGTATACAATTATTTTAACATTCAATGATAGAAAAGAGAAATTTGAATTTTGATTGTTTGAAACGTCATAACCATAACTGATACTTACATCAGTGTCGCGGTTCTCTAATTATCTCATTACTAAAGATGTATATCTCACCAATTTTGATCCGGATTAGTCTTCTTTCTATTGAAAGGACTTTCATAATTAACAATTGAAATATTTTTTTTTTTAAAGTCATTATCATGCCCCCTTGATTATTGGTGCGAGGGTGAGGGAATGTTATATTCTCAAGTCGATCTACCTTCTAGTTGGGGTGATAATCAATTCGTGTTGTTCGTCTTTTGAATATTTTTACTAGTGAAGGAGTGTTACTCAAACTCGATTCTTTTAAACCTGAGATAAACACCTGATTAAAATCAGCTTTGACTTATTTTTAGGTCAGTTATTCAGCCAATTTTCTTACTAAATCTTCTAAATTTCAGTTATAAGCCTATAAAGTTACTTAGAAACAGCACTTTGTCCAGCACTACACAAAATGGATCCTTCCAGACACGATTGATTGGATGATTAGAAGCCACTTGGCTCAAAATTATTGCCCTGGCCACAAAAAATAATCTTTTGAGCATTTTATAATTAAAATATAAGATAATTTCGAGTAGATTTGATCTTATCAATGGTTAGTATATCAGAATCCTACACGTGGGACCCATATGTTTCACTGATAGATATCTAATTTTTGGGGGGCCCAGTTTTTTTTTTTTTAGGCTTTGAAATCCTATTTGGTTGCCAAGTGTTGGGCATGTAGGGGTGGTTTGAAAGGAAACTAATTACGTAGACTAATTGATAATAATTAATTAAAATTTTTGGCCTAAGTTTATGGCTCAATAATTTGATGTACTCCTAATTAATTATAATTATGGGTTATAATATTTNCTCATTTCCACCATGGTTGTTCAACACTACTTAGTTGATGTGCGAAGTTTTGGGTTAAGAATATGATTGGTGGAAGGGTTTGGAATAACGCGGGTATACAATTATTTTAACATTCAATGATAGAAAAGAGAAATTTGAATTTTGATTGTTTGAAACGTCATAACCATAACTGATACTTACATCAGTGTCGCGGTTCTCTAATTATCTCATTACTAAAGATGTATATCTCACCAATTTTGATCCGGATTAGTCTTCTTTCTATTGAAAGGACTTTCATAATTAACAATTGAAATATTTTTTTTTTTAAAGTCATTATCATGCCCCCTTGATTATTGGTGCGAGGGTGAGGGAATGTTATATTCTCAAGTCGATCTACCTTCTAGTTGGGGTGATAATCAATTCGTGTTGTTCGTCTTTTGAATATTTTTACTAGTGAAGGAGTGTTACTCAAACTCGATTCTTTTAAACCTGAGATAAACACCTGATTAAAATCAGCTTTGACTTATTTTTAGGTCAGTTATTCAGCCAATTTTCTTACTAAATCTTCTAAATTTCAGTTATAAGCCTATAAAGTTACTTAGAAACAGCACTTTGTCCAGCACTACACAAAATGGATCCTTCCAGACACGATTGATTGGATGATTAGAAGCCACTTGGCTCAAAATTATTGCCCTGGCCACAAAAAATAATCTTTTGAGCATTTTATAATTAAAATATAAGATAATTTCGAGTAGATTTGATCTTATCAATGGTTAGTATATCAGAATCCTACACGTGGGACCCATATGTTTCACTGATAGATATCTAATTTTTGGGGGGCCCAGTTTTTTTTTTTTTAGGCTTTGAAATCCTATTTGGTTGCCAAGTGTTGGGCATGTAGGGGTGGTTTGAAAGGAAACTAATTACGTAGACTAATTGATAATAATTAATTAAAATTTTTGGCCTAAGTTTATGGCTCAATAGTTTGATGTACTCCTAATTAATTATAATTATGGGTTATAATATTTGACACAACTTATAGCAATATACGCAAACTCTATATAGACTTAAAAATATCATGATAGATTAATACGAATAATAAATAGAGTGAAAGAAGTATTATCACAACCTAATCATTTTTTATACGACAAATTTGTTTAACCTATACTGAAAGGATTATTCTTTATTTGATTGTGAATTTTCGACGAGTGTATGAGTTTTACAAGGATCGAGCGTATGAGAGTGGAGTTTTAATGTTTCCTAAAACATTTTCTATCAAACCACTAAAGTTCGTGTCTATTGTTATTAATGTTTTTTCTTTCGTGGTTGTTCACCACACTTCATGTTCACAACGGTTAGCATAAACGGTGATATCCGTAATTTCTAGTTTTCAAGTTATTAAAAAATGACATGAAACCAAAATATCAAAATAACTTAAATATGACGTTNGGAATAAATGTATAAAATTTTAATTTATTTAATTAAAATCATGTATTTCATCCGGTGAAATTCTACGAAGCTGTCTTTAAAGCTATCCCTTGAACACTATTTATTCGGGGGTTGAAGGGTGAAGACGACGGAGAGAGGGACAAAAGTAAAGAATTACGAAACTCGTGCATCGGACCTACTTGTCGTTAATTGCTATAATTAAAAGATGAAACTTAGCACATGAAATAATAGGGTTAAGGTTGATGCTTCTTTTGGCAGCAAGGAACACGTGGAAAAAAAGAAACCTCTCTTACTAAGAAAACCTTTCTCAGCACCCAAGTTAACTCTTTCCGTCAAAAACAGGTGTTTGGAAGCTACATTACACTTGCATCTAATCAAAAGGGACAGCTTTAAACCTAAAATATAATGTATCAGCCTAATTACTGTTTTCTTTTTTGGCTAAAAGATATGCGAACTTACTTTATCATATTAAAAAAACNTTGTTTTTTTTTGGTGACAGACCATACTCGCATTAAATC